CCCCAGAGTACAGTCTCCCCCTGCTCCCCTAAAGAGACCCCACAGACATTTGGGAACATAAAAAGGGAGATGGTATCTCCACTTAGAGGGATTTCAGAACAATCATTACTGGACACCCATCTCCAGTGATGGCCTCAGATCTCTGGTCTCCGTGGGGCCTGGTGAACTACTGATTCATTGACTATTGATTCATTGAACATCTACTTTGGGCCAGGCGACTATGCAGGTGTGTCTGAGGATGAATGGTGTCACGGCAGGAGAAATGTAAAACAGGCCAGGACACAGCATGGAGATGCCGGCCCGGCTGGGAGAAGGCCGGAGAAGCAAGGGACACGTTATTTGGGATGGGAGGGGCTGCGGGGTTAGTCAGGAAGGGTCTTCTGGTCTGTGATGGGAAATTACAAACATACTGAAGGTGATTTAGGTGAACACTAGCCAGACACCTGAACACTTGGCAGTCCATCCCAGAGGGAGTAACTGTTGGCCAGAGAAGGGACAGTTTACTGCAGGACAAATCGCCACCCCGTGGGGATGCTAAGCTTGGAGGCCTCGGATTCTGGCTTTCCCCCAGCCCCCCGGGTGAGCTTAGGCAAAGCATTTGGATGCAGCTGAATACCTCAGGCCACTGGCTGCTGCTCACTGGTTGCCAAGGATACTTGGTGGGAGAATAATGAGCCTGAGAAGTGAGAGGCAGGTCCCCAGGGACATCCTTGTGGGACAGAGAGGAGCCCTTCCGCCATGTGGGACGTCAGTGTAGACGAGGCCCTGGCAGAGCCCAGACAGGGAGGGCGGCAGACGCTGGCCCTCTGCAGGCCCAGGACGAGCCACTGTCCTTGGGGCAGACGTGTTCTACGTCCAAGTGCAGGTGTGGGACGGGGACTCCGTGGATCCTAGGAGACTCGTCAGATAAACATAGGATGTGTCAGGAAAGAGGGAAGGGACGGCGACCTTACTGCTTTCTATTCTCACTTCCTGTCTCTATTAAAATTTACATAATTATTTTGTTTTGTTTTTCAATTACCGTTGACATCCAATATTATATGAGTTCCAGGTGTACAGCATGGTGGTTAGACATTTATATAACATATGAAGTGATCCCCCTGATAAGTCTAATAACCACCTGGCACCATCCACGGTTATTACAATATTACTGACTGTATTCCCTGTGCTGTACTTTATATCCTCGTGACTGTTTTGTAACTTCTAATTCAGTTTTTAATTAAAATTTACATAATTCTTAATGTCAGGTTTCAAATAATACAGAGGTTTATAGTGTCAAAAGTGCAACCCCCACTTTGTCCTCTCGCCCCACCCTCCTGGCCCAAAGTTTTATACGTAATGTGATTGTTCTTGTGCCTTTAAGCATGGACATTTAAATTTTAAAAATACACATAATGTCTGACCCTTTTCACGTGAAAGAAATTATGCTCTGTGCATGTGTGCAGATCTGAACAGCATAATAACTTTCTACATTCAGGGGAGTTGGTCTTCTCTTTGTTTTCACAGCTAAATTATACCCCACAGTGGATATGCCGGATTTATTGAACCATTTCTCTATTGATTGGCATTTTTGTCTTTAGATTTTACTAGCATGTAATCTGCACGTCAATAAACATTCTTGTGTATACATTTTGGAACATGCGAACCTTTCGAGAGGAGGAATGTGTGCACCATGAAGCCATGGACCTGGAAACATCTTTTATTCCATGCCCATATTCCCCCTCCTTTCACGAACTCTTTGTGCAGATTCCTGACAACCTAAGTTGATGCAGTGGGGTTCATGCCCTGGCCCCTCTCTGTGAGGGCTCAGAGCCACAGGGTGGCAGGCAGTGGGTAGCTTTGACCTACCCCATGAAGTTGCTCCTAAATGTCAGCCCCAAGAATGGCTGGTTTACTTCGAGGCTGGTGAGGGCGTCACTGCCACGTCCTGGTGGTTACCAGCCCTGACACTGCCTCTTAGCAAAGCAGACCAGCTGCACCGGCCAGTGAAGAGGCACTCACATGTGTGCACGGCGCTCTCAGCTCTGTGTCCTGGACTAGGGGCCCCCTGCTGTGGCTGGAGGGGATGCCCGTGTAGGTGGTCAGGGAGCTCACGTGGCCAAAGGGGGTTCAGTAGATGCTCCCGCCCTTCTTCCACTCTCGACTTTGCTGGGCACTTAATGGTCAGGCCTTAAACAGGCATCTGGGTAGACAGTTCATCATCTGCGTTTCATGCCTCTGTTCATATTAGGCTCTGGGAGCCTCCCTTGTTAGAACTTAAGACGATGATTTAGGCAGATTCTGTTCTCTGGTGGGGTCCACACCGTCAGTGTAATGGCATGAAATGAGCCTGCCCTGCCCACTCCAGGTCTCTCAGACACACGCTCAGCAGCCAGGCCTTTGCTGCAGAGTGCACACCACAAAATGGGACCAAATCATAGTCTTTTCTTGGAAACACCTCAGGTTCCCCAAACTTAATGCATGAAAAATACTGAGATGGCAAGAGGCTAAGTGTGTAGTATTTTCCTTTCCTGGTTTCCCATTGGAGTCTGCACAGGATTCGAGGGCTGTGCTGTTTCCCACCTCCTTTCTCGGTGTTTCCCTTCTTGCTCTGACCACCAGAGCCTTCTACAGCAGAGGTGGGGGCACGGCGGTTCCCAGAAGAAGACATGTGGGCCTCTGGCTTCACCTCCTGGGTTGATTGGTGATCAGTAATCAGTGATCAGTAATCAATGATCAGCAGGGCAGCTGACCTTCACAGTCCACCCACTGCTGGACAATCCCTGCTGTGCCACCCGGGAGAGGATGGCTGCGGGGAGGTGTGCCTGGTCAAGAGTGACCGTGGTCACTGCATCAGCCTTTCACTGCCCAGCCGGCAGAGGCAGGAAACCCTGTCCCCCCAGGCAAGGCTCTGGGGGTATGAAGGCTGGCAGCAGTGAGAGGCGCAGGGAACTGGAGGGAACTAGAAAGACGCATTTGCCTGCTAATTTCCTGGGACCACACACAAGAGGCAAGTGTCCCTTGATTTTATACCCCTAAGCAGATCTGTCTGTCCATGTCTGAACGAGCTGGGTGTCTCCTCGGGTGAAGAAAGATATGGGGGAACTTGGCATCCACTCAGGCTAACAAAGGCCCCTGTGATCGGCCCAAACCCCAGGATTTCTGGCTGTGTGTGGCCGAGACCTTGTAGGCTGTGCCAATGCGGGCGGAGAAGGAGCCCCAGCCAGGCACCAGCCGAGTGGCTTTCCGGTCCCAGGACCCAACCCACCTCTGTCTGGCTCCCTGGCTGTGGCTTGTCTTCTATCTGAGCTTCTCCATCAGCAGTGGGAGGTCACCTAGAGGGGCCTGGGTAGTCACCTGGAGGGGAACCAATTGCCTCTTACAACCCAATAGGGGAGAACCCCGGAAGCCTGCAGGCAGCCTCAGGTGACTGGGATTCAAGGGTAGGTTGCCTGTCCTGGGTTTTGAGGCTGAGAAGCCAGCTGGTCCAGGAGGCAGCAGAAAGTCTCATTTCTTGGGGACTCTGTCCATTTATCCAAAGGTGAACCAACTGCCTGGAAGAGTCGGCTTCAAGTATGTAACAAGAATTAAGCAAGGGTATACTGTTCACTAAAGGGAGGGGGTGGGCAGGGTGAAGTTTCAGTGAGCTTATGCTATGTGTTAGACCCTGCATTAGGGTCTTTAGTTCTGAGGCCCGTGTCCTGAGAAGTAGTGGGAAAACAGGTTAACTTGTCTCAAGTTAATATTAACTGGTGAGGAACCAGAATCCCATCTGCTCTCAGGGGGACCTTTTCCCAGCTATCTCTTCATACTGTTAGTGTGGCCACCTGGGCACTGACCCACGAATGTACCATGGACCTCCTTCCCTGGGGAGTTCTCATGTGTGACCTGGAGTCCACTTGACATTAACTTGGCAAATAAACTTGACTTGGTCAGTTATTACCTGGGACAGGTGAGAAGGAAGCACCAACACCCAACCCTCATCAGGGTCTATGCTTATTTTCATTTTACATCTCTCATAGTCACGCAGACCCAGAGCTATACCAGGAAGGATTTCAGGGGCCTGGGGTGGACAGGGCAGCAGTAGAAGACAGGCTCAGGCAGTGAGCAAAGAAACTCAGAGCTGGTGAATTTGTGGTGAAATCATTGCCAAGCACAGTGGTATCTTGGACTGGATCTTCGTGGGTGCTAAATGGGGACAATTCAGAGTTGGCCTCACATCAGGTCAGCGAGAAAAACAGTTGAGATACTCGTCAGCTTCTCCAGGAAGGCAGCCGGCCGTGATTTTTGTTCTTCAGGTCTTGTCACACATTGTTCTTAAAGCAATTGGGCATTGCTTGAGGCAGCTGCTTGGGCGCCCTGGGTTGGGAATCACACAGCAAAACCAAAGTCTGTGGGCCTGGAGCTCGGTCACGCTACAGGGTGCTCTGCATGCTGACCACGTTTCCAGTAGTCTACGCGTCTGCCAACAGGGCGGCAGAAGACACAGAAAATTATGTGCTGATTTTGCAGAGGGGTAAAAAGCACTAGTCCCATTTTTTAATGCAAATTTGGAAGAGAATCTGAATCAATTTCATTGAGATATCAGAGCAGGACACTGGTAAGGAACAGATAAATTCTGCCATTTGGAGGGGGTGTAAGGCAAACACCTCTACTGTCCACTGAGAGCTAGCTGGCCATCCGCATCAGCTTCCTGACAGTTCTCTGGCTCCTGGATTGGGCATAGCCAGGCTGGCGATGTCTTGCAAACACAGCCATGAAAAGATAGAGAAAGCAAGCACTGTGTCTTTGAGCACCATGTGGCTTTAGATTCTGGGTGTGTTTGATTTTGTTTTGCTGGGTTCTGCTATGGTTATTTTCTTTGCAAAAATTCTACAGAACTGAAGTGAAACAGTTGAGTGTATGGGTGCTGAAAAAGCATTTTGACTGAAACTTGAATGTTTCCTAACAAAACGATTTTTCTCTTTAATCTTTTAGGTTTGATTTTTTGTGCAGACCACTTGATCACTGTCCTAGACACCATGGATTTGCATTTGTTTGACTACTCGGAACCAGGGAACTTCTCTGACATCAGCTGGCCGTGTAACAGCAGTGACTGCATCATGGTTGACACCATGACATGCCCCAACATGGCCAACAAAAGTGTTCTGCTCTACACCCTATCCTTCATCTACATCTTCATCTTCGTGATCGGCATGATCGCCAACTCCGTGGTGGTCTGGGTGAACATCCAGGCCAAGACCACCGGCTACGACACACACTGCTACATCTTAAACCTGGCCATCGCCGACTTGTGGGTGGTGGTCACCATCCCGGTCTGGGTGGTCAGCCTTGTGCAGCATAACCAGTGGCCCATGGGTGAGCTCACTTGTAAGGTCTCTCACCTCATCTTCTCCATCAACCTCTTTGGCAGCATCTTCTTCCTCACCTGCATGAGCGTGGACCGCTACTTGTCCATCACCTACTTCACCAACACCTCGAGCCACAGGAAGAAGGTGGTTCGTCGTGTCGTCTGCGTCCTGGTGTGGCTGCTGGCCTTTTGCGTGTCCCTGCCCGACACCTACTACCTGAAGACTGTCACATCCGCATCCAACAACGAGACCTACTGCCGATCCTTCTACCCGGAGCATAGCGTCAGGGAGTGGCTGATCAGCATGGAGCTGATGTCAGTGGTCTTGGGCTTTGTCATTCCTTTCTGCATCATCGCCATCTTCTACTTCTTGCTGGCCCGAGTCCTCTCGGCCTCTGGAGACCAGGAGACGCACAGCAGTCGGAAGATCATCTTCTCCTATGTGGTGGTCTTCCTGGTGTGCTGGCTGCCCTACCATGTCGTGGTGCTCCTGGACGTTGTCTCCATACTGCACTACATCCCCTTCACTTGCCAGCTGGAGAACTTCCTCTTCTCGGCCCTGCACATCACGCAGTGCCTGTCCCTGGTGCACTGCTGTGTCAACCCCGTGCTCTACAGCTTCATCAACCGCAACTACAGGTACGAGCTGATGAAGGCCTTCATCTTCAAGTACTCGGCCAAAACGGGCCTCACCAAGCTCATCGACGCCTCCCGGGTGTCGGAAACAGAGTACTCTGCTTTGGAGCAAAATACCAAGTGAGGCCCAGGCTCCGGACACGTGTGCTTGCTTTCAGCAGGGCTCTAGGCTGCCTGGGGGCTTGAGACCGGAGCAGTGTGCAGAGGGGCAGGCGGGCCACAGTGCTTCCTCCCTGACTCCCTCATGCCTGCATGGCCATTGCGTGGCTGTGACCCTGATCGTGTGTCACACAGGGCCGTGCCACTAGCCGATGCCACTTGTCAAAGCTGGTGGGCAGAGGGGCCTTGCCTGCACTTCTGTACAATAGGACTCTCTGTGTTTCCTGAAGGTTTTCTATGGTGATTTGTATTTAAATGCTAAGACTTTATTTTCTCACTCTTGGCATACCTTATAAATGTATCAGAAAGTTTAAATATTTTAAATGCTGTATGGGAAGTGTAACGCTGACATGTAATCGTGTTGTAGTTTTAAGATTAGCTTGACTTCGGTTTTGACTAAGGATGATGACTGTTTAGCTGTTGTGAGATTATATATAAATATATAAATATATACTTCTATGCCAGCCTCGGCAGAAATGTTTTATTTACGACAGTTTTCTATCTGGGTGTTGCTTTGTACTGGCATGGGGTGTGTGACGAGAACTGCCCTGTAACGCAGTTTCTGACATTAATAATATCTGTAAACTTATATTGAAAAACAAACAAACAAACAAAAGCAAAACTGTTCCAGGCTGCAATGCTGGGCATAAAGCAAACGGCGTAGGTCAGAGAGTTCACTCAACCTGTAAGTTATTGTTTTAAAAATAAAGATCGTTTTGTTTTTCCTAAAAGGCACCCGAGTCTCAGTTTTAAAAGCATGTTTGGCATTTAGGTGGCATGTATGATAATAACATACAGATACACACAGCATATACAGGTCAACATATAACGAATATGTTTTTTCAAAAAGAGTACTACCATAAAGGCAAAACACCAAATGATGCCGACTTGGATGAAGTGGTATATAGAAAAAACATTTGATTGCATTGAGGTTTTTTTCTTGAAATTTATTTACATCTCACACAACATGTTTGAAGGCGGGGAGGTGGCTGGGAGTTCCTGAAAGTTCCCGACTACTCTCTCAGCCTGAAGGGTTCAGGGCCCAGGACTCACGTGTCCCCAGGGCTACACATCACGGCTCTTGAATCTTCCTTGCTAGGGTTCTGTGACTTAAAGCCTTATTTTTCTTCTTCTGTTCAGGAAAATCTCTTCATTTAAAAACTAGCCCATCAATGACCTTGTTCTTGAGGACATGCAATGAGTGAGTTACCAAATCAACCTACATTGCTAGTTAGAAAGAGCACGCACAGAACGGCCGATTCGGCTGAGCCCTCACCAACTGGACATGGGCCACAGCAGTGGCAGACATCAGACGCAGGTCCATCTGGGCAGGAGCTCCGAGAAGGCCTGGCTTGCCAGTGCTCCCTCATCATGTCCAGAGTGACAGGACTGATTTGCACGGAGAGCAGCTATCTGCCCACCCAGAGGTGGCCTGGACCAGGAACTGTGAATGCGCACTGAATGGGGTAAGGGGATGGCTGCTGGGTGCAGGGAGATCTCCACAGCTCCCTCCCGGAGGTACGGGCTTTGCTCCTAGCTCAGTGATATCTCTGGGTGGATTTCAGTTCTCCGAGGTGATGGTTAAGAGCTAGAAAGGCCCTATCCAGATTTAAGGAATACCTCCCACCCTGCCCCCAGCCATGGACTCCCAAGGAGTCTCCTCTACAACCTGGATGGCGCGCGCGCGCGCACACACACACACACACACACATACACACACACACACACACACACACACACACACACACACACACACACATGCAGGGCCCGCTAGGATCCCAGGTCTTCATTCCAGCAACCTCTATTACGCAGTTACTGGGTTGGGTAAGGCGTGAGAGGAAATGGACTCATTGCAGCCAGCTTGCATTTGCAGAGCTGTTTTGGTTTCTCTGGGTGGCTGATGAAGGCTCAACCTCACACAGTGCCAACAGAGCCTTATTACCTAACCCAATGCTGCACTCTCACACACGCACATGCGGATTTGTTATCCTCCATGTGACCAACACATGTGTCCTGGACATGATATTCCTGGTCACGTCCAGGATAGTCCTAGCCAGTGACTGGGGCACACCACTGTGTGCTCAGGCTGCACCCGTCCAGTCGCAGTCTCTCAGCACAGAATGCATTTGCTTTGCAAAAAACAGTGCATTTCAGAGAAATAAAGTGATCGCCATCTGCCTGTGGGAAGTGACTAGAAGAGTAAGAACCATCTGCCTCAGACAGTGGTTCTCAATGGGGGTGACTGTCTCTCAGGGGTCACTTGGGAATGTCTGGGGACATTTGTGGTTGTCTCCACTCAGGGTGGGGTGCTGTTGGCATCTAGTGAGGAGAAGACACGCTGCACAGGATGGGCCCACAAAAGGCTTCCTTAGCCCCAAAGGTCACCAGAGTTAAGGCTGGGAGACCCAGTTCTTGGATAAAGCCAACCATTTAGACAGAATTCTGGATGGTATTCATTACCTCTGTGATGTGCTCTGGGTAGGAACTTCGACAATCTCAGGGCTGGGGTCCATCCCGGGGTCCCTAGAGCATCAGTTTCACAGTTTTTGCCCCTAACCTCTGAAAGAGTATATGGATGAGATCTACACCAATATTCTCATTGAGCCTGAACATTTCAATGACAAGAATTAGTTTGGTTCATCAACAGTTTACATGAAAGACATGCTCGTGAAAAAGGTACGTGCAGATTAAACGTTGGTCAAACTTTAAGTGTGGTTTGAACCAAGAGCATCATGGTTCGTGGTCCGGCTGCACCAGACGCCGGGTGACTGCTTCAATTCTGCTTCCCAATAGCTCCACGGCGTGGGCAGTGTTTTGCTGTGAATTTCAGTTTGCTCACCCTCACAATGACTTCCCCACCTCCATGGAAAGGCAGCTGCAGAGGTCAAAGGGAGCGTGTATGCCAATAAACACTGTTGAATGGACGGATAAAGGGATGAGTGAGTGCTTAGAAACCCGCGGCGGGCGGGCCACACTGAAGACCCTGAGAACTTCCCATGCTTTTGCATGTTTCACTCCATCCTGCCCAGTGCTTCACTGACAGGCCGTGTGGGAGGGCGCAGCATCAGCACACATCACACCTGGTGTGTTCAGGCTTGTCTGAAGTCCACCCATGGGTATGCTCACCTGTGTGTTGCTGTGGGTCACCGCATACATGATCTCCATCTAGAATCTAGAACTGTGTCTCCCATAGATCATAGCTTCTAGATGCTCAGGTCTTGCTTTCCAGGCACTGAGCTACTTAGCCGTGGAGGGAGCACTTGTCCTCATGAAAGAGGCCTGGTTATCTGTCTGGTATGTGGGGAGTGATGGGTAATTTTGGTGTTTTTTTAATTTTTTTTATTTTCAAAAGCTTCCTTTTTGTTGGCTTTTCATATGCTTATAACCTTAGACCTTGCCATGTGGGATTCAGAATGGCTGCCAATCATGTCATTTCTCAGGGTTGGGGGTAGGGGCAGTGGTGGCTTCGTCAGCCACTTGTCACAATGTAATGCTCAGAAGCAGCAGAATGGGAAAAAATCTGAATTTCCATAGTGATTTCTGGAACTAAACTGATTAAAATAATTCCCTAGGTAGGTCGGAATCTTCGCTTTCAGCCGGAGCGCGTCATGGTGGCGATGACATTAAATCTGCTTGGATGACTCCGAATGTATGTTGGCACGGCAACATGTCACGGGGCGAGTGGAGAGCATGGTGGTGGCGGCCTGGCCTGTGTGAAAGGGCCCGGGGCTGCGCTGCCCCCGCTGGATGTGCTTCCTGTTAGCCTTTCACAGGCAAGCGTGCGAGGCTGAGCTTTTCATTCCTTTTGCAGAGGTGTGGCCAATAGGAGGGCCGCACCCGGGTCTCCCCATGGCTGCATTTCGCAGGGTCGGTGTGAAGAGTGCAGACTATGTTTTGTGCAGTGAACTAAAGAGCATTTGAATTTTGTGTGGGGCCTGAAGTGTCGGTGAAAAATCGTCAGTTGCCCAGCTGTGCAGCCGATGAATGTCTTTTCTGCGTTTTTTTTTTTCTTTTTTCTTTTTTTTTTTTTTTTCTGCATGTGTGCCCGCTCATTTATTCACCCATCCAGGCCTTTGTTCATTCGGTCACGGAGTGGACAAGCTGTATTGAGCACCCACTGTGTGCCAGGCACCGCACTTGTCTCTCTGAAATGTCAGAGATGGCTCCCAGCCTAGAGGGGAGGTGGACAGTGAATCATAGGGAAATTGTTACAGGGCAGCATGGCAAGAAGCATCTCTCTGGCTTTTACTGGAAATGCCCAGAGCAGAGAGGCAGGAGGGGTCAGGGGAGGCTTACCAAGAGGGTGTCCATCTGGCCTGAGGGCAGGCCCAGGGGACAGGGCATGGGTGATGCCTCTGGACAGCTTCTGGATTGCTGTCTCTCTTAAGTGAAGGCTTTAAGGAAATGTGGAGGCACCTGAGAGGTGTCCATTAACGAATAAAAAGGTCATTAATCATTGTGTAATGGGAGCTTAATTCTAGGTGGGACTCCAAGGTCATAATGGTGACCTCTACCCCGAGGGCAGCTATGAGGCTTGAGGGCAAGTACGAAGGAGTGGACAGGGAGACTGTGGGGCATCAGCACTCAGCCCTCACAGGCCGTAGAAGGTTCTGCTGGACCTGTGCTCCTGCCCAGGACTGGGCAGTTCTGACCACCTCTCCTTGCTCTGCTCCATGGTGCCCGCTGTGGGCTGACTTGATGGGTGACTGCAGCGGTTCACAGAGGCGGCAGAGAGAAACTGAGGGACCTTACGACTTTGATTAAATTTAGCTTTAAATTCTAGCTCTAGAAATCATAACTCTCTCTACCTCTCAGAGACCTAGCCTTTCCCAGGATACCCAGCAACCACCGAGGCAGCAGAGAACAGCACCAGACCTGACTGATGTCCCAGATCAGGCCTCTGCAGGCTAAGGATCACATCTTCTCCTGAGTTCCGTTCTAGCTCCTAAGCCCTCAGGTGGAACG